TCCCAGTCGCTGTTCCCAGCAATTGTCGAGCTGTCGGAGGACCGGCACTGGCGGGTGTGGCTGGCGATCATCGAGTACATCCCGCTGCTGGCGTCACTCACTTACTCCTTCTTTCTCTCCCCTTTCCGCACTCTTTTCCCTTGCACACAGGTGATGGGCATGGATCTGCTCTCCCAGTCGCTCTTCCCAGCAATTGTCGAGCTGTCAGAGGACCGGCACTGGCGCGTGCGGCTGGCGATCATCGAGTACATCCCGCTGCTGGCGGGGCAGCTGGGCATGGAATTCTTCGACGAGAAGCTCAAGGACCTCTGCATGAAGTGGCTCGAGGACCAGGTGGGTTGATATGTTTGGGGGTGGGGGTGGGTGGGTGGGACTGGGTGGGAGTGGGTTGGAGTGGGTATGGGTGGGTTGGAGTGGGGTGTTTCTGGGGAAGATCAAAGAAGGGCAGCTGGGCATGGAATTTTTCGAGGAGAAGCTGAAGGACCTCTGCATGAAGTGGCTCGAGGACCAGGTGGGTGTATGGATGTGCTAGTGTGAGAGAGGTGTTACTGCAGAACTACAGAGACACTGTCCAACATTCTCTCACACTGTGTCATCTTATCCCACCGCTCTCCACCACACCCCACTCCACCGTGCCATCCACCAGGTGTACTCCATCCGCGAGGCTGCAGCCACAAACCTGAAGCGGTTGGCAGAGGAGTTTGGACCAGAGTGGGCTCAAGCGCACATCGTGCCCATGGTATGCCTCTAGCACACATTCTATAGTATGGAGCTGGTATATTATCCATTAACGCCACACACACCTGAAGCGGTTGGCAGAGGAGTTTGGACCAGAGTGGGCTCAAGCGCACATCGTGCCCATGGTATGCCTCTAGCACACATTCTATAGTATGGAGCTGGTATATTATCCATTAACGCCACACACACCTGAAGCGGTTGGCAGAGGAGTTTGGACCAGAGTGGGCTCAAGCGCACATCGTGCCCATGGTATGGAACTAGTAAATTAACCAAGTGTTGCCATGAATGAAGTCGTATCTTTGAAGTCTCTATAGTGGCACGGCACACACACATGGAACGGTTGGCAGAGGAGTTTGGCCCGGAGTGGGCTCAAGCACACATCGTGCCCATGGTATGCCTCTAGCAGACATTCTGCCCATGGTATTGTGTCCAAGATTCAAATCGTTCCCTGCTGTTGCTGTTGCTCCCATGGTAAGCGCACATCATCTCACCCACCTTTCGCCCACCTCTCGCCCACCTCGCCCACCTCTCGCCCTCATCTCGCCCTTCTCTCACCCACACCAGGTGGTGAGCAAGGTGAACAACCCGCACTACCTGTACCGCATGACAGTGCTGCTCTCCATCTCCATGCTCGCACCTGTGCTCGGCTCTGAAGCCACCTGCAGCACCATGCTGCCCATCGTGCTCAATGCTGCCAAGGACAGGTGAGAGTGATTGCAGGGATGCTGGGATTGCTGAGGGAGTTGGGCTGGGGGAGTTGGGCTGGGGGAATTGAGCTGGGGCATTTGAGCCTTGAGTCACTTCTGAAGCCACCTGCAGCACCATGCTGCCTGTCGTGCTCAACGCTGCCAAGGACAGGTGAGAGTGATACGGGAGCAGGTGAATGCAGGGTTGGCCATCCAGTGATACGATCGTGATTACGCCTTGCTCTTTCTTCTTGCCGCGTTGCCCATCCAGCATTTAAGCACAACACTTGCACTCCACCACACCATGTTCCTGTTCCACACCTCCTCTCTAGCTCCCTCACTTACTCCTTATATCTCGCACGCATAATCTCACTCCTCTCACACTATTTCCCCCCTCTCATACCTCTTTCATTTTTTTCCCTACTCCTCCCTTTTCTCCGCATCAGGGTGCCCAACATTCGGTTCAATGTGGCTAAGATGCTTCAATCCTTCATCACCATTGTTGAACCATCAGTAAGCACACCCATACCAATGATGCTCCCCTTCCTCCCCCACTTCCCCCCCTCCCATCCCCACCCACCCACCACCATCATCCACCCCTCTTGCTCCTCTCGCAACCCTATTTTTCCAATCCTTGTTCCTGTATTTCTTCCTATCTCATCTAATTCCTCCCATTTCCTCTACGGTATATTATTCCTGTCTCCTTGCTTTCTTCCCGTTTCCCACTCGACCAAATTTGCGCTATTTCAACACCTTTGTTCTCTCATTTCCCTCTCCTCTTCCTGTTGTCCACACATGCAGATTGTGGAGCAGAGCATTCGGCCAGCCTTGTTTGAGCTGAACGAGGACCCAGACCCAGATGTGCGCTTCTTTGCCAACCAAGCACTGCAGGCATGCGATCAGCTCATGGTCGGCTGAGTCTTGATGCGGTTGAGTGGGATGAGGAGGTTGAATGATGTGCTCTTTGTTGCCAGCCAAGCACTGCATGCATGTGATCAGCTGAAGAGACCATGCAACGTTTCAGCTGGCAGGCATTGCTCGCATTGCTTAGGGAGGGATACTGTGATGAAATGGGAAATCATTTGCAGGAAAAGTAAGCCCACATTTTATGGGCTGGGGCTGTGCTCGTTAGGGGAGCTGCTTGTGTACGGAGCCAGTTTGGAACTCACTGCAAATCAGGCTAGGTCTGTCCCAAGTATTGACACCTGGAAGTACAATGTTGCATGTGGTTTCTTTTATTACTGATTCTGATTTCAAACAGAACAGCCGACAGCAGAGTGATTCCTTAGCATCTCAGCATATAGCTTGGTGCAGCACAACAGAAAGCAATTCTTCACACTTCAGCATGCTGTGTTGGTAGTAGATAGGGACTTCCCATGAGTCTCTGTTGGTGATGCCTCAGCAGCAGCACACAGCATTGCCAGAAGTAGCAACACAGGTACCATAGCACTTGACAGGAAGATTTGTCTCTGTTGCATGTTGTTGCTTTATTTGCATATGTATCATATGTCCTTGCAAGTGCATACACTAGTAATGTTGAAAATCAGCTATGTTGCGCCATATACCTAGTTTCAAGTGTCCAAGCTGAGATGTTCTTGTTTGATCCGTAACCTAAGCAGATCTATCATTATTCAGGCAATTATCTAAATCTACAATCACTAATGCTAATAAAACACACTATGGTCTTCTCCTGGGTCTTGTGGGCCCCTCTTGGCCACTAGGGGGGTTAACCCCTAGTGTTCACCCACACACCACGTTGAGGTGGGGACCCTTCGTGTGGGACCTGCATGGGGACCACGGGGGGTTAGTAGCACACAGCAAGCAAGCAAGGAAGCAAGCACAGCAACAGACAAGGAAACAAGCAAGGAACCAGCGAAGAAAAAACAAGCAACAAACAAGGAAACAGCGAAGAAAAACAAGCAACAAAAACAAGGAAACAGCAAAGAATTACATGCAAGGAAAGCGCGGAAAGCAGCTACACTTACCGGTACAACACGCACCACCACGACGACCGTTGCTGGCGTGCCGTGCAGTCCACCTCCACTCCGCAGCCCCGCAGTGGCACGAGCAGAGGGCTTCCAGCGTCCCAAAAGCCCCCGCTCAAACCAGGCAAAGCCTGGCCCAAGTGGAGGCGGGGTGAGGCTCATCCGACTTCAGGCAGCGTCCCGCCATCCATCATCAGAGCACCCACACACAGGGGCGCTTCGGACGTTAAGGGGGCCAGCCCTAACGCCGTTAGCAGCCCCTGCCGCACACCACCTGATGCCACAGTTGGGGGTCTTCACTTCAGTGCTCCCCACGCATGTTGAGCAAAAACCTGCTCCTGGGGGAGGGGAGGGGAGGGGAGGGGAGGGGAGGGGAGGGGAGGGGAGGGGAGGGGAGGGGAGAAGAGGGGAAGAGAGGGGAGAAGAGGGGAGAAGAGGGGAGAGGAGGGGAGAGGGGGGGGAAAGGGGGGGAGGTCTTCAGTCTTCGGTCTTCAGTCTTCGGTCTTCAGTCTTCGGTCTTCAGTCTTCGGTCTTCAGTCTTCGATCTTCAGTCTTCAGTCTTCGGTCTTCCTGAAAAAGATGGGAAGGATAAAACAGCAGTGAGTCTCCCGAGAAAATAAGGCATGGCGCAGTTGGGGAGAAAAGCAAGGCGATAAAGCAAGGCTAGACAAGAGGCTTACCGTCTGCTCCCTCCTCTCCTCTACCCCTTCTCGCCTCTGCTGCATCTCCACATGTGAAACGGGAAGACACAGAGTCACAAAAACTGAGCCTGGAAACGGGAAGACACAGAGTCACAGAGGCACTAGCGGACCTACTGCCAAGATATCACACATGGCTGAAAAGATTCATACAGAAACAATGCAAAAAAAGCAAAGCGAGAAAAGAGACTTACAAGAGATGAGCAGAAACGGCTGCTCCTGTTCCTTCTCCCCTCTTCCCCTCCTCTCCTCTTCCCCTCCTCGCCTATGCTGCATCTCCTCTGTGAAACGGGAAGACACAGAGTCACAAAAACGCAGCCTAGAAATGCACTAGCGGACCTACTGCCAAGATATCACACATGGCTGAAACGATTCAATGCATATAAAAACAATGCAACAAAAATCAAGGCGAGAAAAGTGGCTTACAAGAGAAGAGCAGAAACGGCTGCTCCTGTTCCTCCTCCCCTCTTCCCCTCCTCTCCTCTCCCAATCCTTGCCTCTGCTGCATCTCCTCTGTGAAACGGGAAGACACAGAGTCACAAACACTCAGCCTAGAAATGCATTAGCGGACCTACTGCCAAGAGATCACACATGGCTGAAAAGATTCAATGCATACAAAGACAATGCAAAAAAACCAAGGTGAGAAAAATAGGCTTACAAGAGACGAGCAGAAGCGGCTGTTCCTGTTCCTCCTCCCCTCTTCCCCTCCTCTCCTCTCCCCCTCCTCGCCTCTGCTGCATCTCCTCTGTGAAACGGGAAGACACAGAGTCACAAAAACTCAGCCTAGAAATGCACTAGCGGACCTACTGCCAAGAGATCACACATGGCTGAAAAGATTCAATGCATACAAAGACAATGCAAAAAAATTAAGACGAGATGAAGCGAAAAGAGGCTTACAAGAGATGAGCAGAAGCGGCTGCTCCTGTTCCTCCTCCCCTCTTCCCCTCATCTCCTCTTCCCCTCCTCGCCTCTGCTGCATCTCCTCTGTGAAACGGGAAGACACAGAGTCACAAAAACTCAGCCTAGAAATGCACTAGCGGACCTACTGCCAAGAGATCACACATGGCCGAAAAGATTCAATGCATAAAAAGACAATGCGAAAAGACCAAGGTGAGAAAAATAGGCTTACAAGAGATGAGCAGAAGCGGCTGCTCCTGTTCCTCCTCCCCTCTTCCCCTCATCTCCTCTCCCCCTCCTCGCCTCTGCTGCATCTCCTCTGTGAAACGGGAAGACACAGAGTCACAAAAACTCAGCCTAGAAATGCACTAGCGGACCTACTGCCAAGATATCACACATGGCTGAAACGATTCAATGCATACAAAAACAATGCAACAAAAATCAAGGCGAGAAAAGTGGCTTACAAGAGAAGAGCAGAAGCGGCTGCTCCTGTTCCTCCTCCCCTCTTCCCCTCATCTCTTCTCCCCCTCCTAGCCTCTGCTGCATCTCCTCTGTGAAACGGGAAGACACAGAGTCACAAACACTCAGCCTAGAAATGCACTAGCGGACCTACTGCCAAGAGATCACACATGGCTGAAAAGATTCAATGCATATAAAGACAATGCAAAAAAATCAAGGCGAGAAAAAGAGGCTTACAAGAGACGAGCAGAAGAGGCTGCTCCTGTTCCTCCTCCCCTCTTCCCCTCCTGTCCTCTCCCTCTCCTCGCCTCTGCTGCATCTCCTCTGTGAAACGGGACGACACAGAGTCACAAAAACCCAGCCTAGAAATGCACTAGCGGACCTACTGACAAGATATCACACATGGCTGAAACGATTCAATGCATACAAAGACAATGCAACAAAAATTAAGGCGAGAAAAGTGGCTTACAAGAGAAGAGCAGAAGCGGCTGCTCCTGTTCCTCCTCCCCTCTTCCCCTCCTCTCCTCTCCCCCTCCTTGCCTCTGCTGCATCTCCTCTGTGAAACGGGAAGACACAGAGTCACAAAAACTCAGCCTAGAAATGCACTAGCGGACCTACTGCCAAGAGATCACACATGGCCGAAAAGATTCAATGCATACAAAGACAATGCAAAAAAAATAAGACGAGATGAAGCGAAAAGAGACTTACAAGAGAAGAGCAGAAGCGGCTGCTCCTATTCCTCCTCCCCTCTTCCCCTCCTCTCCTCTCCCAATCCTTGCCTCTGCTGCATCTCCTCTGTGAAACGGGAAGACACAGAGTCACAAACACTCAGCCTAGAAATGCACTAGCGGACCTACTGCCAAGAGATCACACATGGCTGAAAAGATTCAATGCATACAAAGACAATGCAAAAAAACCAAGGTGAGAAAAATAGGCTTACAAGAGACGAGCAGAAGCGGCTGCTCCTGTTCCTCCTCCCCTCTTCCCCTCCTCTCCTCTCCCCCTCATCGCCTCTGCTGCTTCTCCTCTGTGAAACGGGAAGACACAGAGTCACAAAAACTCAGCCTAGAAATGCACTAGCGGACCTACTGCCAAGAGATCACACATGGCTGAAAAGATTCAATGCATACAAAGACAATGCAAAAAAATTAAGGCGAGATGAAGCGAAAAGAGGCTTACAAGAGATGAGCAGAAGAGGCTGCTCCTGTTCCTTCTCCCCTCTTCCCCTCCTCTCCTCTCCCCCTCCTCGCCTCTGCTGCATCTCCTCTGTGAAACGGGAAGACACAGAGTCACAAAAACTCAGCCTAGAAATGCACTAGCGGACCTACTGACAAGATATCACACATGGCTAAAAGGATTCAATGCATACAAAAACAATGCAACAAAAATCAAGGCGAGAAAAGTGGCTTACAAGAGAAGAGCAGAAGCGGCTGTTCCTGTTCCTCCTCTGCTGCTCCGCTCCGGTCCTGCCACTGCTCCCTGGCTAAACAAAACCAGAAACACAAGACGACATTAGCACGTAAAAAACTGGAAAAAGAAACAAAGAACAACAAAGAACAAAGATGCAAAAAACTGGAAACGCAACTTACATGTCGGTGATGGTGTTGACCCTCCAAGCTTCTGCTCCCCCGCCGACCTGCCAAAGCAGAGACTCACATGTCGGTGACGGTGTTGACCCTCCAAGCTGCTGCTCCCCCGCCGACCTGCCAAAGCAGAGACTCACGTGTCGGTGATGTAAGTCGGCGCCGCCTCCTCAAATGCTCACCTGAAGTGCCGCCTCAAATGCACACCACACCACACCACTCCACACCACTCCACACCGAAACCAGAGACTACAGTCGATGACGCTGTAGACTCCCCGTGCGCCCTCCTCGACGGTGGGAAGGGGATGAGGACAGAGTGCAGGTCAGGTTGGGCGTCAAAGCTGGAAGAGGAGGTGCAGGGAGGGCGGTGCTGAAGAAAGAAGACGAGGAGCAGCGATGAGCGGGGCCAGCCGTGAGGAGGACTTACGAGAGACAGAGGCACCACCCTCTCCGCCTCAACACGTCCCACCGCTACTCTCCGTTCCACTTTCCACAGCATCCCCCTCCATGCATCCACTCGTCCAACCCATCAACCACTCCCTCTCGTTCCTCCGCCTCACCCCGTGCTGAACGTGACGCTGTAGACTCCCCGTGCGCCCTCCTCGACGGTGGGAAGGGGATGAGGACAGAGTGCAGGTCGGGTTGGGCGTCAAAGCTGGAAGAGAAGGTGCAGGGAGGGCGGTGCTGAAGAAAGAAGACGAGGAGCAGCGATGAGCGGGGCCAGCCGTGAGGAGGACTTACGAGAGACAGTGGCACCACCCTCTCCGCCTCAACACGTCCCACCGCTACTCTCCGTTCCACTTTCCACAGCATCCCCCTCCATGCATCCACTCGTCCAACCCATCAACCACTCCCTCACGTTCCTCCGCCTCACCCCATGCTGAACGTGACGCTGTAGACTCCCCGTGCGCCCTCCTCGACGGTGGGAAGGGGATGAGGACAGAGTGCAGGTCGGGTTGGGCGTCAAAGCTGGAAGAGAAGGTGCAGGGAGGGCGGTGCTGAAGAAAGAAGACGAGGAGCAGCGATGAGCGGGGCCAGCCGTGAGGAGGACTTACGAGAGACAGTGGCACCACCCTCTCCGCCTCAACACGTCCCACCGCTACTCTCCGTTCCACTTTCCACAGCATCCCCCTCCATGCATCCACTCGTCCAACCCATCAACCACTCCCTCACGTTCCTCCGCCTCACCCTGTGCCGAACGTGACGCTGTAGACTCCCCGTGCGCCCTCCTCGACGGTGGGAAGGGGATGAGGACGGAGTGCAGGTCAGGTTGGGCATCAAAGCTGGAAGAGGAGGTGCAGGGAGGGCGGTGCTGAAGAAAGAAGACGAGGAGCAGCGATGAGCGGGGCCAGCCGTGAGGAGGACTTACGAGAGACAGTGGCTCCACCCTCTCCGCCTCAACACGTCCCACCGCTACTCTCCGTTCCACTTTCCACAGCATCCCCCTCCATGCATCCACTCGTCCAACCCATCAACCACTCCCTCACGTTCCTCCGCCTCACCCCGTGCCTAACATGACGCTGTAGACTCCCCGTGCGCCCTCCTCGACGGTGGGAAGGGGATGAGGACGGAGTGCAGGTCGGGTTGGGCGTCAAAGCTGGAAGAGAAGGTGCAGGGAGGGCGGTGCTGAAGAAAGAAGACGAGGAGCAGCGATGAGCGGGGCCAGCCGTGAGGAGGACTTACGAGAGACAGTCGCACCACCCTCTCCGCCTCAACACGTCCCACCGCTACTCTTCGTTCCACTTTCCACAGCATCCCCCTCCATGCATCCACTCGTCCAACCCATCAACCACTCCCTCACGTTCCTCCGCCTCACCCCTTGCTGGACGTGTTGCCTCCTTGTCTCAAGTGCCGCCGCCTTGCCACCTCGTCCCCTCACCTGAAGTGCCGCCTGGTTGCCTCCTCCTCCTTTCCCCAAGTGTCCTTCTTGCCTCGATCCCCAAGATTCGCATGCTTACCTCCTTGCCCCACGTGTCCTCCTTGCCTTGAGCAGGTGGTCAGCAGGGCGAGTAGGAGGCAGCCACACGCCAGTGGCTGCCGGCCGTGCGTCATCCCACCACACTCGCCCGTCCTCCTCGCTCCACCACACAACACAAAACCAGATCACAGCATACGACACAGCACTACACCTTCTCCTCTGCAGGCGCCTCCGTTCTTGAGTGAAGAAGCCATGTTGAGTGAAGAAGCCATGTCGAGTGAAGAAGCCATCTTGAGTGAAGTGCCGCCTCTCCTTGCCTCCTCACCTCAAGTGCCACAGAACACTACACACCTCGGCTGAAGTGCCGCCGCCTTGCCTCCGCACCGGCTCGTTGCTCGAAGTGTCCGCCTCCTCCTCATAGCACACCATACCATTCCACACCGCACTACACCTCTGCTGAAGTGCCGCCTCCTTGCCTCAGCGCCGGCTCGTTGCCCGAAGTGTCTGCCTCCTCCTCATACCACACCAGACCGTTCCACACCGCACTACACCTCTGCTGAAGTGCCGCCGCCTTGCCCGAAGTGCCCCCCTCGAGCAGAGCGGGTGGTCAGCAGGGCGGGTAGGAGGCAGCCGTGTGGCTGCCGGCCATGCGTCATCCCACCGCTCGCTTCTCCCTCTCACTGCTGCCGTCCTCCCGAGTCACTACTGCCGTTCTCTGCAGGCTCCTCTGCTCCTCCGCTCGGCACATCCTTGAGTGAAGAACAGATCTAGAGAACCCACGATTGCTGAAAAACAGGGGCAGGGAACACACAGACGGATGCACGAAGTCAGTAAACTGAACAGCGGAATGGAAAAGAAAGCAAAAAAAACACACGAAATGCGGATTTGAAAACGGAAACAAAGTACGAAATTGAAAGCGGAGAACAACACGAAGAAACGAGGTGAGGTGGTGGGATGGATGCACGTCCATGATACGCCGGCTGCAGCTAGCAGAGGGAGGAGCTATGCTACCCAACCCAAAATCTATGCTACCCAAAACCACGGAGGATCATCTACTAGGCTGCAGCCGAACGTATCAGAGGGACGTGCATAAACGCGAAGAACGATGGAGTGAAGAACGAGGTGCGGAAAACGAATGACGAAACGAAACGAATGACAAGAAGGGAAGGCGAGGGGAAAGACACTTCCCAGTTGCTTTGCTGACCACGAGATGGCAGTGTTGCCTTGCTGCTCCACGAGCGGGTGGTCAGCAGGGCGGGTAGAGGCAGCGGCACGCCAGTGGCTGCCGGCCGTGCGTCATCCCACCGCGCCCGTCCACCTCAGCAGCGCCAGGATCAGCCAGCAGCACTCCAGCAAGCGGGTGGTCAGCAGGGCGGGTAGAGGCAGCCACACACCACGCTGCACCACGTTGCACCACGGCAGGCCAGGAAAACTAACTCCTGCACGGACCTGGACAGTGCAGATTGCAGCGCAACGGAAACGAATCTGAAATGGTCAGGCAGAACGGAAACGAATCTGAAATGAGAGCTGAAATGAGAGCAACGAAAACGAATCTGAAATAGCAACAGGAGAAAGATACAGCCAGGAAACGTAAAACATAGAGATCGAACGTTGGATGAAAACTCACCACCAGCATCAGACGAAAACTGCTCGAACGTTGACAGTGCAATTAGCGTTGCGCTCTCCGCCAATCATCTCTCGCCAATCAGCTCTCCGCCAATCAGCGATGCGCTCCGTCATTCAGTGATTCGACCTCCGCAACTCAGCGATGCAATCTCCTCCGTTAGCGGCAAACCAGGAACCAATTCCTGCACGGACAGGAGAGACAGAGCAGATCGCAGCGCGTGAGATATGCTAGCTAGGAAACTGAAATGGCCAGATAGACGCAGCAAAAACGAATTTGAAATAGCGACTGGAGAAAGATACAGTCAGGAAACGTTTAACCTAGAGATTGGGTGCTGGATGAAACTCACCACAAGCGTCAACGAAGGCAGCTCGAACGTGTCGTTCAGCGTCGTTCAACGTCTCCACCGCGTTGCACCACGCTGCACCGCGAAGCTGCTCCATCCGGCTCCAAATCGCTGCATGGTTCCGCACGCCAACTCTTGGCATGATACATGTCACGGCAGGCCAGGAAACCGACTCCTGCACGGACAGAGCAGGACAGAGCACGTCAGAGCAGGAAAAGGCAAGAAAGCGCAGGACAGAGCAGATCGCAGATCGCAGCGCGTGAGATACGCTAGGGAACTGAAATGTTCGAATGGAACGGAAGTAGCAACTAGAGATTCGTCGTTGGACGAAAACTCACCACGGCTCAAACGGCGTTCGCGTCACCCTCAAACGGCACGTTGCTCCCGCCACATGCTCCATGCTCCGCGCAGCTCAATCCGCGTGATCCGCGCAGCTCAATCCGCGTGATCCGCGCAGCTCAATCCGTGTGATCCGCGCAGCTAAATCCGTGTGATCCGCGCAGCTCAATTCACGTGATCCGCGCAGCTCAATCCGCGTGATCCGCGCAGTTCAATCCGCGTGATCCGCGCGCAGCTCAATCCGTGTGATCCGCGCAGCTCAATTCCGCGCCGGAAGTACGCAATCCACAGCTTGACCAGAAGACCGAAGACCGGTCGCGTGTACGAATCTGCGATTTGACTCCGCGATTCGACTCCACGATTCTCCTGCTTGAACCGCGGAAAGAGAGACAAGAATGCGTATTAAGAGAACAAGCATAGACTGGGAAAGAGAACCTGCATAAAGCGTGTTAAGAACAAGCGTGTAAGATTAAGAAGCAAGATGAACAGGTTGACGTTTGTACCTCAGTCGGTGACGGAGATGCACACGAGGTAATGTCGTCGTTACATAGTATGTACTATGTCGCGAGGGCTGACGGCTTCGCGAACTCCGCTGACGGCTTCGCGAACTCATCCATCCGCCTTCGCCGCGAATCGCCGCGAATCACCGTCTTCACCGTCTTAGCTTCGTCGAACTTCGTCGACTGGAGCATCTCAAAGGTAGGCTTCGTCGAGCTTATGCATCGGCAGATCCCGTCTTAGCGTCGCCGCGAGCGACGCCAGTAGCGAACTGCATGGAGAGGCTCATTCGCACGTCGCATCCTTGGTAACGTCGCCGATTGCGTGGAATGATTCATTGTAACGTCGCATCATCTGTTGCAGACTGCGTGGAGCGACTCCGTCGTATTGTTTATCATAGGATGAAGCTTCATGGATCTGAGCGATTGCTGTAGAAAAATCACTTCGCGACTCGGGAGCTGAAAATGAAACAGCAATTGTGAAGATTCTTCGACAGAACTAATGAACGGTCGATTCGATGTTATATCTGATGGTAACGAAGACCGACGGTGGTAACTCTGGAAGTTGAACTATTAGGCTGATGGTTCGTCGTAACTCTGAAAGCTGAATCATAAGGCTGATGGACGTCAAGTTAAAGAGTTGAGCGATATGAATCCGGAACTTTAGACAAGCTAGTTCTACTAGTTTTTAATTTCTGAATACCATCAACGGAAGTCACAACGGAGGAAGCCATGGACTACCAGTTACCCAGACTAACTTGTGTCACAGCAGTGGAATACGATACCTTGGGAATGTCTGGGATTAGTGAAGGACACTGTTCAGGAATGGGAGGAGGAGCTAAGACTGGGAATGGTGACGAAATGGAAGTGGATGAAAGGGAGAGGAGGTCATGTCGGTTCCGATCGGTTCGGACGGTTTGAAAGCAACTGGGAAGGGTGCTGTGTGGCCGACTGAGAGGGTCTCGGCATAAGGGAAGTGAAGTGGGCGAGGGGACACCATGCGAAACACTGGAAGGCGAGGGGAGGAGTTTGTTCCCGTTCCAGTCCCTGCTAGCGGACGCCGCTGAGAAGTGTGTGGACAGGTTCCGCTGACAGGCGGGGAGCGGGAGAATGTCGGCCAATGAAAAGTGATGGAAGGCGGGAACAGTGTTGCGCTGGCGAGCGGGTCGTCGGAAACAGTGGTGCACTGGCGCGCGCACTGTCCGGCGGTTGGCGGTAAATTTGTGCGAAACATAGGATTGAAAGCGAAAAGTGTTACGATGGCATCATAACCAGAAGGCATGTCGTTGTGAGCATTTGGGGCTTCTTCGCTCGGCGTTGATGAGACTGCTTGTTTTGGTATGGCATGATGTGGATGGTATGGTCAATAGCTCGCACCAATCACAAGATGACATTGTACGAGCCGCGGTCAACATTCCTGGTGGCTCGTGTCAGACCATGGTTTTGAACTGTGTCGTGTGCTTGTGATTCGTGAACCAAAATGGCGGGAAGGGGGCATATATCCCCGCTAAAAAAACCACAAAATTACTTGCCTGATTATGGTGCAGGTGTTGTATTCATGGAGGTGAATTTGAAGCACAGAACCGGATGCTGCTATACATTTGCACACATACATATACATTCTTGAAGTCATTTTCTCAGCAACAGATGGTGATGATGATTCAATGACCGAGGAGTGCAGCTCAATCTTTTAATGAGCAAACATTTTTTCAAGACGATTGTGTTTAATTTCAAAATAGTCTTCAATACACATAAAACGTCGTCAGTGAAGGGTTAAATCATCAGCATCATATCTAGCCAGAGTTATGCATAACAATTGCACAATTGTAGTATAGAGGATTCTCACCCACACATCACAGTCAGTGTACTGCCAACGCGAGTCCGTTGCACCGTAAGTGTAAATGCATCATCCGTTACTGGAACATTCGCTATCCCGTTACCTTCCTCCTGCGAATACATCACTTTTTTACAGAGCGTGTTCTCCTTAGCTTCTGGAAGCTAATGGCGGACCATTTGTCTCCGCCATGGTCGCACGTTTGTCACGTCCTCCAATCACTCGAGCAGCGTCGCGCGAACTGCGTCGTCACCGTCGACGACGATAGCGGTGCGACGCTAACCGGGTCGCAATTAGTCGCTGACGTCGCATGCCTGGCCAGAGGGCTGGAGACTCTCTGCGGCGTCGCGCCGGGGGAGCGCGTGTGCATCGCAGCGCTTAACAGGTACCGTCGCATCGCACGGAATAGCGTACCTTACGGCGACGTATCTTTCCGTCGCAGGTGGTTTGTGAGAGAATTCGTAAAATATTCACGTGGCTGGCGGGATGCATTCCTTGCATTGAGATACGCTTTGCTGTTCTTTACGGCTAGAGGCTAGCGGGATCATCGGGATGCATTCCTTGCAGGGGGAGCTTTCTCGATTAATGCTGCCGAACTGACGGCGAATAGCATGCGCGAATAGTCACGACTACTAGTACCGAATGTGCTATTATCGGACGCACGACCCTTTCCCTGCACGACTGTGCTGATATCTCTGCTATCGAATGTGCCAGTAACGAACCATAACTCTCTCTCTCACCATCCCTCGCTGCATCACACCCATGCAGCTCTGCGTACGTGCAGTGGCTACTCGCAGTGCCGGCTGTCGGCGCCATTCTCGCGCCTCTCAACCACCGATGGGTCAGTGTCGTGTCACTCCCTCTCAGTGTCACTCCCTCTCAGTGTCACTCCCTCCCTCCGCTCAGCTCGCACCACTCCCCCCTGCCGCTTGCACCACACAACACTGACATGTACTCACGAGTCATTTCCTATGCCGCCTTTCTTTCTTTCCACAACGGCCGCACAGAGCATAGGAGAGGCGGCAGCAGCGGTGCAGCAGGTGGGGGCGACGGTTGGTGGTGGAAGCACACATGCTGCCCTGGTGGGCCCACCTCAAGCCACTCCTTTCTCATCCATCTTGCCTTTCCCTCCTTCCGCATCCCTCTTCCCAATACGGCCCCACAGAGCATAGGAGAGGCAGCGGCAGCGGTGCAGCAGGTGGGTGCTCACATGCTGCCCTGCCACACACATGGGCCCCCTTTCCCCTTGCCCATGCCACATGAGCAGAGCATAGGAGAGGCGGCAGCAGCGGTGCAGCAGGTGGGGGCGACGGTGTTGGTGGTGGATGCACACATGCTGCCCTGGTGGGCCGCTCTCAGGCTGCTCTGCCCCTCCCTGCGACTGGGGGTTCGCATCGCAGACGAATCCACTTCTACGATTCCCCCCTCTGCGTCTTCTTCCAGTACGTGAACCTAAAGGTCAGTCAATCACTTGAGAGCAGTTGCTGCTGCTGCTGTTGGTGCTGCCCTGGTGGGCCCACGCCCACCTCGAGCCGCTCTGCCCCTCCCGGCGAACCAAATCTTCTTGGGGGTTCGCATCGCAGCCGGGCCCAGTGAGCCAAATCCCTCCTCTGCCTCCTCGCCCTGTGACTGCACCCAATGGTCAGCCGCTTGCCAGCAAAGCTGCTTCTGCCCCTGTTGGCTGGTGCTGCTGGTGCTGCTGGTGCTGCTGATGCTCTTGGTCGTCCTACCTCACTCACCACGTAATTCCCCACACACGCATCCCCATGCCCATTATCACCACCACCAGCGCTGCTCTCAATGGAGCAAGTTCTTCGAGCGGGCAGAAAGGAAATCACGGAGGCTGAGCAGCACGCTTTCAACGCTTCCTGCCCAACCCACCCAACCCACCACACTGCTTCACCCTCCCATCCTCCTGACTCTCTCGCCTCTTCCTCCCCCCTTCCCTCCTCCTCCTCCTTCCTCCACCACATACCTCTCCGCTTCGCCCCTCACCGCATTGCACTCCTCTGTTTCACCTCGGGCACCACCGGCATTCCCAAGGCGGCTGCTCTCTCCCACACGGCCCTCATCTCGCAGTCACTGGCCAAGCTGGCATGTGCGGGGTACCGCCAGGACGATGTGAGTCACCTCCCCTGGGAATGTGCGTGGTATGTGTGAGTCAGTCACACTCGTAAGGATTCACAATAGCAGCTATAACAATGTTGGCACCCCCAAGGCGGCTGCTCTCTCCCACTCGGCCATCATCTCGCAGTCACTGGCCAAGCTGGCGTGTGCGGGGTACCGCCATGACGATGTGAGTCACATCACATGGGGGATGTGCGTGGCATGAGGTTGCCTGTCACTCGACTTCTCTCTCCCACACGGCGCTCATCTCGCAGTCACTGGCCAAGCTGGCGTGTGCGGGGTACCGGCATGACGATGTGCGTCATTCTCGGAGGATTGGATGGGGTTGACATGGGGATGGGATGATGGGTGACCCGAGTATGTCTGTGTCATTGCAATGCGTTTGCCAGAATATTTTGGGGGAATGGGTTTCTGCTCGTTCCTATTCTGCTTCGAAAAAATCTTTCTTTGGCCAGACTCTGAAAAGATCTCAAGCACAGCTGCTCTGTCCCCATCCATACGCTGCTCTGCTCACCCTTCCCCTCAGACCTTCCTGCACGTGGCTCCTCTCTGTCACATAGGAGGCTTCTCCTCCCTCCTCGCCATGCTCACAGCATGTGCTCGCAACGTCCTCGTGCCTCGTTTCCTCCCCTCCAGCCTCCCCCGCCTCCTCGCCCACCACCGCATTACCGCCCTCATCGCTGTGCCTGCCATGCTCACTGACTTAGTGAGTGCGTGCACCAGCAAGCAACCCACGGAACAAAGTGAGTGATTGTGCGTATCTGTAGGGAGTAGAGTGTAGCCCACATCCCCGTTATGTCCCCATCTTGAACCGTCCTTGTTACCCGGTACATGAGTCATCTTGTGCTCGCGTCCCCTTCCCCTTATCCCTCCTCCCTGCAGCAGGCACGTCATTCCCGCACGTGAGAACGCTGCTGGTGGGGGGAGGCGCGTTGAGTCAGTCGCTGCAGCGGCACACAGAGGCACTCTTCCCATGCGCGCGCCTCATGCTCGCCTACGGTACCTCCCTGTTACCGCCTCTCTTCCATACACTTCCAACTCATACACACAGAGGCTCTCTTCCCATGCGCGTGCCTCATGCTCGCCTTTGGTACCTCTCTGTTGCCTTTCACGAATCTCTTCCCCTTTCTTGCACTCTAAGCTGCTGCCGGTGGGGGGGAGGAGCCATGGGCCTGTTGCTGCAGAGGCATGTGGAAGCACTCTCCCCATGCGCATCTCTCTCCATCCCCATGCCATGACCGAAGCAGCCTCCTCTATCACGTTCGCCATGCTACGGGACCCTGCAGAGGCAAGGACAGCTGGGGAAGTCAAACCCGCATTCCTCCTCTCCCGTTTCCGCCCGCGTCTCCCCCTCCCCCCCTCCAGGTATGACCGAAGCAGCCTCCTCTATCACATTCGCCATGCTACAGGACCCTGCAGAGGCAGAGACGACTGGGGCAGAGAGAGCAGGGGCAGAGACACCAGCACCATCAGCACCAACAGCAGCAGCAGCACCAACAGCATCAGCTGCTGCGTGCTGTGTGGGCTTCCCTGCTCCACACGTTCAAGTCTGCATCGCGCCCCTCCCTCCTGATGACCCTCACTCTCCTCCTCCTCCTCCTCCCCCTCCTCACGGCCCTCACTCACTCCTCCCCCCTCAACAACACTCGCAATCTCGCCCCAGTCACCCCCCACCTAACCCCAGCCAGCCTTCAGCTCAAAATTCCTGTCCTGTAGTGGGGGAGGTGCTAACCCGCGGCCCGCACGTGATGAGCGGCTACTGGGGCAGACCAGACGAAACCGCCGCAGTGCTCTTGCCAGACGGCTGGCTGCGCACGGGAGACATGGGCTGGATCGACTTTTCCGGGCAGCTTTGGCTGCTGGGCAGGCGAAAAGAAATGATAAAGTCGGGCGGGGAGAATGTTTTCTGTGCGGAGGTGGAGGAGGCAGTGAGGGCACACCGGGGAGTGGCGGCAGCAGCAGCGGCAGGGGTGCCGGATGAGAGGATGGGGGAGGCGGTGGGTGTGCTTCTGCAGCTGAAACCGGGGTGGGTGTGGACGGGAGACAGCAGTAATGACAGTGGTGGTGGTGATGCTGGTGGTGCTGGCAGTGGTGGTGGCAGTGCGGCAAGGGCAGCTGTTGCTGAGTGCGTGTCATTGCATGACTTGCATGCTGCTTGCCAGCAGCACGGCCTGTCCAGGTACCGTATGTGGATGAGCCTGGCCTCCTGTTGCTATCATGAGTTAGGTTGCTGAGCTGCTGACATTCATTCCAAGGCACAGCTTACAGCTTCATCAGGTATTTTGTCGTTCATAACAGACTCTGCCTCTCGTTTTCTTTGCAGGTACAAGCTCCCTCGTGTGGTTGTGGCTTTGCCAGAAGGGCAGTCTTTGCCTGTGACAGCTTTGGGAAAGGTGAAGCGTGCTGAAGTTAGAGACATAGTTGTTAATGCCATGGACAGTAGTGTACCAAGGTTACAAGCCAGATTGTGAAAATTGAATTCCAGAAGGAATTATATTTATCATGCCTTTGGTTTCTGCTCTGTAGTGGCACTTTCTTTGTCCTCGGTACAAGCTTCCTCTGAGATACCGTACGTGGTCTTGTTGTGGCCCACAATTCTTCTCAAAAATCTTAGCCATTGACTTTTTTGCTGTATGCGAGTCGTGACACGTCAGTACCTCACGCACCGACTCACGCCCGAACGCGTGGTGCCATGCCAGCCACAACCATATGAGAGTCGCACAAACCGTCGCATGGCGGCCAGCTACCAAAAAGCACACAAACGGATGGGGTGCGTGCGAGCTGTCGTTAGTCGTTATGCGACGTCGCAGGGCGATGGCGGCAGAAAGTGGGATTCCGAACTTGAGGTCGCTGAGAAACAAACCACACACCAGCCCCCAAGTTGGAACACCCATGTCCCCTTTGAATATTCACTGCCATTCTAATTACCAACATAGCAGACCGCCGCGCCCCTCGCATCTCTCGTTCCACTCTGGCGACCTTTCGTCCTCAGCCATTCTTTCTCCTTTCGCGTTCGCACTCTTGTGACATCCTTCGCACTCAATTCTTGCCCTCGCACCCGCCTCATCCCGTTGCGTCTGTGAAGCTTGATTTATTTTTATGAATCTCTAGTCTAGCTGGCCTACAGCCTCTTCTGGGATTATCTTTCCGCCATCCCGTCGTCTCGCTCATTTCGCTTGTTTCGCTCGTTTCGCTCGTTTCGCTCGTTTCGCCGGCACGCACATGGCGTCGTCGTTTGCACTAGCGCGCGCAGATGCTTCGTCGCTAGCTGCCTTGCGATTCTGTTCGCGTCCCCTTCGCGTCGCTCCAGGTAATCTCGAAAATTCCTCACCATTTCCCCACATCCGCACCTCTCCCCCTTCTCATTCCCCCGTCCTCACTTCCTCGTTTTGTGAGCAACTTCTCGCGAATTAACTTTAGTGCAGGTGTTCCTGTATCGAATGTGACGTGCAGGTGACAGTAGACTCTGTATAAGCACGAAGCAGCACAACCAGCTTAGGCAGCAGCAGCTACAACAGCAGCGGAGGTCGGTGGGCGTGTTCAGAGTGCGGTCGAGTGCGGTTGAGAACGCTGCAGCTGAGACCAATGTGACGGACGAAGGGAAGCAGGTGAGAATTGGGGCAGGTGGGCGAGAGATGGGGCGGGCGAGAGATGGGGCCGGTTAGGGGTGGGGCAAGTGGGAGGTGGGACGAGTGAGAGGAGAGGCAGGTGAGAGAGACCTCGAGACGGCGAGATTGGCACCACGGACTCATTGCATCTCGTCTGCTCTGTCATCATCGTGGGTTCACCCGAAATGCCAGAAAAGAGAAAGGAATTAGTATATACATAAAAAACAAACAAACAAACCGTGATTGAATCTCAGCCGTCCGTGAAGTGTTCACCATACACGCGCACTGCCACGTCACTTCCCCTCAACCTTTTTTCCCACCAACCCCCGTTTTCCGCTGCTCCCCTCCTTTCCCCCGCCCTCTCCCCTCTTTCCCTATCCGCAGCAGCGCAAGGCGGAGTGGGCGCGGGTGCGGGGGGTGGCGGAGAGGGGCGCGGTGGTGCGCGGGCGGGTGGTCTCCGCCAACGCGGGGGGGCTGATGGTGCGCCTGGGCCCGCTGCAGGCCTTCCTGCCGCTCTCCCAGCTCGACCCCTCACGACTTAGAGGCACGGGTGAGTGGGGTGTGATGCATTCACATGGAAGAGTGGATGGGGAAGAGGGGAGAAAAAGGGGGAAAGGGGGTTGGAGGAGCGTGTACCCGGAGCGCAGCAGCAGCAGCGCGTGCATCAGGGGCGCGTGTACCCGGGGCGTCGTCTCCTCCTCCCTCACTGACGAGGTTTGAGGCGCCTCAAAACTCAACTCAATGCGCGTGTACCCGGGGCGTCGTCTCCTCCGCGCTCACTGTCGAGGCAAGAAAATTAGTGAAGGACGCTCAACCCCCTCCTTCCTTCCCTCTTCCCGCTTCCCCGCCTCCCTTATACCAAGCAGCAGCGTCACCGGCGCCCAATGTAGCAGATGTAACCCGAGGTCTTGTAGGCAGCATGGTGAGCGTGAGAGTCCTAGAGCTGGATGAAGCACGCACGCGTCTGGTGGTGTCGGAGAAGCGGGCAGCAGCAGCGCGGGGCCTGCAGCGCGTGCAGCAGGGGCGCGTGTACCCGGGGGTTGTCTCCTCGCTCACTGACTTCGGCGCCTTCGTGGACCTCTTTCAACCCGAGGGAGACAAAGAAACGAGCAAGGAGGGCAGTAACGCGGAGGGGGGAGACAAGGACGGAGAGAAGGAGGGATCATTTCTGGCGACGGGGCTGCTGCATGTGTCTGAGCTCTCTTGGGATCCCGTTCGTTCGCCTGCTGATGTCGTTGCCGTGGGGGATGCAGTCACTGCGTTGGTTCTGCATGTGGACAGGTGAGCTTTCGGAAACAAGGAGGGCGCGTTCTTGGTGACTGGCTTGGTGCATGTGTCTGAGCTCTCCTGGGAGGGAGGCTGTGGCGGGTAGAGCAGGGAGGAGGCCGGGGGAGGGGGTGTTTCTTTCTGGCGACAGGGCTGGTGCATGTGTCTGAGCTCTCGTGGGATCCCGTGTGTTCGCCTGCTGATGTCGTTGCCGTGGGGGATGCAGTCAACGCCATGGTGCTGCAGGTCGACAGGTGAGCTTAGCGAGTTGATTATTTGTGGGAATTGTGTCTGATCATCCATCTGTCTGTGCATCCATACAGCCAGGTGGCCGTGCATTTATCTGTCCTTGTGCATTCCATTCATTTATCCATCCATCCATGCGTCCATGCGCCCTCACATACGGCAGGGAGAGGGAGCGAGTGGGGCTGTCGTTGAAGCAGGTTCAGGCAGACCCGCTCCTCGAGACGCTAGACCGCTTGCTCCCCTTCCAACCCGCCCCAGATGCCACCTCCCCTTCTGCCTCTGCCCTTGAGGTCCGTTCTCTCTTCTGCCTGCACACAATCGTGCTGCTCTTTTAGGGTCTCGTTATTGTTTAAGCTCGGTTTTTTGCTGGCTCTCTTCTCACTGGTTCTCTCCTTCCCACATTTGCATGTGCTGGTTGTAAGCGCACACACACGCACAAGCACACATGCTCACGGACATCCACACATGCACACTCAAACGCACATTCACAAACGCACATTCACACCCGCTTGCTCCCCCATACCTCCCTTCGCTCCCAACTTCCCCAGGCGTCCTCTGCAGCTCCCTCCTCCCCCCTCCCTGGCGCCTCCTCGCCTCCTCCCCTACCGGGCCTGCTAGCACTCTGCAACCAACTCAGGCAGCAACCAGGGTAGGTAGCAATCTCTCAGTATTCCCCCGTCCTTGGTCCCTCTTCTCGTGGTTCCCTCCTCCCTTTCTCCCTCCTTCCCTCCTCCCCTTCCTCCTTCCTTACCCCCTCCCCTTCTTCCCTCCTTCCCTCCTCCCCTTCTTCCCTCCTCTCTTCCTCCCCTTCTTGGTCTGCTAGCCCACTGCAACCAGTTCCAGCAGCAACCAGGGTAGGTGATCCCAATGCCACTTCCCTGATTTCTCCCCTCATTGGCACCCCTCCCCTCAGTGGAGCGAGATGGCTGTTGAACCCACTCAAACGTTCCCATTCTCCTCTCTCCTCCCCTCCTCCTCTATATGCAGGATTGTGTCGGTGACGTTGGGAAGGCAGGCAGTGGAGCGGCGGGTGGTGTCTCAGGACCTCGAGCTGTGGCTCTCCAATGTGAGCAGTGAGCGAGGGAGGTGAACAGAAGTTTGGTCACGACAAACAGGAAGATCAAAGGCAGGCAGTGGAGCCACATCATCTGTGCCAGCCGTATCATCTGTGCCAGCCGTATCATCTGTGCCAGCCATATCATCTGTGCCAGCCGTATCATCTGTGCCAGCCGTATCATCTGTGGCAGGCGTATCATCTATGCCAGGCTCATCAGCCGTATCTACCGTGTCATCGGTGTCATCGGTGTCTTCTGTGTCATCTGTGTGAGCTTATTTCACCTCCCTCCTTCACCCCCCCTCCCTTGCCCAATCCCGTGCATATATCCCTTCACAGGCGCCAGCAGCAGAGGGGCAGTTTGCACTGCTGGCTCGAGCAGGCCGACTGGTGAGCTTCTTTTTCTTCTGCCTCCCCACCCTATTTTGATGAAGAAATACAGTGCAAGCTTTGCAAACTCGATTGCTGTATGTTCGGGAAGTTCAAAATAGTGCTGCTGCCTGTTTTGGTGTGCCGCATACTCTCTCTCGACTTGCTTTTATGTGCCTTGTTTCTTCCTCTTCTCACGTGTGCCAAACCATTGCGCAGGTGCAAGAGGTTCAAGTTGTTGCCACTTTGGATCGCGAGCAAATGAAGGAAGTCCTGAAGCAGATCTCTTAGTGCAATTTGCAATCTGTGGTGTGCCCGGAGTTGGGTTGTTGGGACTTGCACACATTGACGTGTAGTGAGTTACGGTACTACGGTACCAAATTTCTGAAATCTAGCAAGTGCAAGTTCTCTTCACGAGTCTTGTTTCTACATCAATTTTACCTTGCTGCACACCAAGTCCCAAAGAAGCAGCAGAAGCATCCATGTCTGGCTATGCTCTACGGTAACTGCTGCTCTTGTGCAACAAATCCAACAAATCCATACACCATGTGCAGTTATCACTAAGAATGCCCAAATGCTGCCTTACATTTTTGCTGCACCATAACCAATCCCCCCCCCTACCAATCTACTGTATTGCTAAACAGCACTGACAAAGCAGCAGCAATACCCCTACAGCTCCTACTTGTGTACAGGTCAGCTCCCATGTCAGGGTACAAGATTCACGGAAACAAATGAGCATACGGTACCGCAGAATCACTTCACAGCTTTGATCAGTCAGTCGTCATACTGCTCACTCACCACTGTCCTTCCAGCCTTCCTGAACATCCAATGCTTGTCTTGGGAGTGTCAGACATCATTCAAATGCTAGGCGGCAGCAGATGCTATCCAGCTGGCCAGAAGCATAGTCGTGTCGTGAGATGCCAGACGCCAGCCAGACACCACACTCCAGAGCATTCCATCTGCTCTTACCCATCCCCACCGCACTCCACTCCACTCCACTCCACCCCTCATCTATCGCTAAACACCATGGACACGGGTGCAGTAATATCCGCGCTCGTGTACGGATTCACCCCCGTGGACGTCCCAGGAATATACTCGGGCACATTATCATAATCCTCCTCCTCCTCCGCAATATCCATCTGCTCTTACCCCCTCCCACCGCACTCCACTCCACCCATCATCTATCACTGAACACCATGGACACAGGAGCAGCAATATCCGCACTCGTGTACGGATTAACCCCAGTCGACGTCCCAGGAATATACTCGGGCACATTATCATAATCCTCCTCCTCCTCCGCAATATCCATCAGATTATCCTCCCGGTCCTCCAAATCGTCATCAGGAAACAGATTCATCACCGGTTCCAGAATCCCCGACGAGGGCTTTAAGAAGTACTTGATTTCCGCGAGGCGAGTCGCGACCTCGGCCATTTCGGGGCGGTCGCGGCCGAGGCGGCGGATGCACATGGAGGTGACGGCTGCGAGCATGTTGAGCGCCTGGCGGGGGTACGCGCCTGTGAGCCGCGGGTCCAGTATGCTCTCCACCTTGCCCGCTGATATCTTGGGCGCCGCCTGGGGGGTTGGCCGAGAGCGGGGGTTGGGGGTGGGGTTGGGGGTGGGAGGAGAGAGAAGAGAAGGATGGAGGGAGAGTAATGCAGTCAGCCGGAGCACAGCACATGGGGTATGAGGTGTGGTAGTGGAACTCAGCACATGGGGTATGAGGTGAGGTAGTGGAACTCAGCACATGGGGTATGAGGTGTGGTAGTGGAACTCAGCACATGGGGTATGAGGTGTGGTAGTGGAACTCAGCACATGGGGTATGAGGTGTGGTAGTGGAACTCAGCACATGGGGTATGAGGTGTGGTAGTGGAACTCAGCACATGGGGTATGAGGTGTGGTAGTGGAACTCAGCACATGGGGTATGAGGTGTGGTAGTGGAACTCAGCACATGGGGCATGAGGTGTGGTAGTGGAACTCAGCACATGGGGTATGAGGTGTGGTAGTGGAACTCAGCACATGGGGCATGAGGTGTGGTAGTGGAACTCAGCACATGGGGTATGAGGTGTGGTAGTGGAACTCAGCACATGGTGCGTGTGAGGTCCTGGCAGGTCCTTGGCGTCGCCTGGAGAAAAGGAACGGAGGAGAGGGAGGGGGAAGGGGGGAGGCGGGTGGTGCGGAGAGCGGGGTGCGGGGGGGGGGTGGTTCGTGTGGACTGGGAGCATGCAATGCGCGAGTGGGGCCGAGGGTTACAGGGTTCAGGGGCATGTGACTCACCCAGCGTGAGAGTGTGACCATGTACGACTCGTTCTCCACTGAGGGGTCCTCCATGATGGCATGTGGAAGTAGTACAGAGTTCAGGAATCGCGAGTCAGGTCAAGCACGCTACTCACCCAGCGTGAGAGTGTGACCATGTATGACTCGTTCTCCACTGAGGGGTCTTCCATGATGGGCGGGCGGCCTGTGATGAGCTCCAGTAGCACCACTCCGAAACTGATGGGGGGGGAGTGGGGGGAGGGGAGGGGGTGATGGGCAGGAACGGAGGGACGTGATGGGCAAAGGAGACCTCAGGCAGAAAGGGTCCTCCATGATGGGCGGGCGGCCTGTGATGAGCTCCAGTAGCACTGCTCCGAAACTGATGGGGGGGAGGGTGGGAGGAGAGGAGATGGGCGATGGGCAAAGGAGGGGGCGAGATAAGGTGGGAGTGGGGTAACCACTCAATCTATGCGCGCACAGGTCAAGGCGCCTTGACTCGCACCTGTAAACGTCGCTCTTGGTGGTGACCTTGTACGTCCAGTAGTACTCAGGGTCCACATAGCCTGGAGTGAGGTGAGGTGGGGTGGGATGCCCACAACTCCAGCAGCATGGAGTGGCATGGAGTGACATGGTGCATAAAGCTTCAACCCGCACCTGTAAACATCGCTCTTGGTGGTGACCTTGTACGTCTGGTAATACTCAGGGTCCACATACATAGCCTGGAGTGCCCACCACTTGAGGTCTAAGAAGCGAATATCTCACAGACGTATGCACGCACGTTGAGGTGGCAGCACAGACGGACCAAACAACTCGCACCTGTACACGTCGCTCTTGGTGGTGACCTTGTACGTCTGGTAATACTCAGGGTCCACATAGCCCGGAGTGGTATGGAGAGGCATGGGGTGCCCACCACCCACCCACCCAACCCAACCACATGTAAAGGTGTTAGCACCTTAAATCTGCTCTCACCTGTACACGTCGCTCTTGGTGGTGACCTTGTACGTCTGGTAGTACTCAGGGTCCACATAGCCCGGAGGGCCATGGCATGACGTAGGATGCCCACCACTCGTGGGGCATGGAGTGGCATGGCATGGCATAGCATGGAGCATGGGCATGGAGCATGGTGCATGGTGCCCTCATTCTCACCTGTATACGTCGCTCTTGGTGGTGACCTTGTAAGTCTGGTAATACTCAGGGTCCACATAGCCCGGAGTGCCCACCACGCGTGTGTTCATCTCGTCTCCCGGCTTGTTGCTGCCGCTCTTCTTGAACACACCAAAGTCCGCCACTTTGGCCTATACGGGAAAAAATGGGAGGGAAGAGGAGAGAGAGAGGGGAGGGAAGAGGGGGGAGAGAGAGGGGAGGGGATTGGAAAGTGCGAGTGTTCATCTCGTCACCCGGCTTGTTGCTGCCGCTCTTCTTGAACACTCCAAAGTCCGCCACCTTGGCCTGGGGAAAGGGTGGGGGAGTCGGGGAAAGTGAAACAGGGCAGCCAGGGTCAGTGAAGTGAAGGTCGGTGGTTGATGCTGCACTTTTGTGCACCGCAGAGTCCGCCACCTTGGGCTGCAGTGGAGGCAGGGAGTTCCCAGCACCCAGCAGCACCCAGCAGCACCCAGCAGCACCCAGCAGCACCCAGCAGCACCCAGCAGCACCCAGCAGCACCCAACAGCACCCAACAGCACCCAACAGCACCCAACAGCACCCAACAGCACCCAACAGCACCCAACAGCACCCAACAGCACCCAACAGCACCCAACAGCACCCAACAGCACCCAGCACCCAACAGTTCCGGTGACAGCCTAGGCCCGAGTCCTCACCATCATGTCAGCAGCCTAGGCCCGAGTCCAGCAGTATGTTGGCACACTTGATGTCGCGGTGAATGATGGCCCTGAGTACTACCAGAGAGAAGCGACATCCCAAACCCTATAGCACCTAATCCTCAGCAGCACCATGCCATCAGCTCTCACCATCATGTCGTTATCCAGCAGAATGTTATCACGCTTGATGTCGCGGTGGATGATAGCCGGCTCTGCGGTGAGAAGAGCAACCTTACAGCCCTACCCAAACCCCCAACACCCCCTCCTCACCATCATGCCATCAGCACTCACCATCATGTCGTTATCCAGCAGGATGTTGTCACACTTGATGTCGCGGTGAATGATAGCCGGCTCTGCAGCGCTGTGCAGGTACTTTAGCCCTTCTGCTGCACCCACTGCGATCTCCAGCCGCTGCTCAAACGTTAACGCGCGCTTGGAGGGGTCTGAAGGGAGTGGGATGCAAAAGGGGGAAGGTGGGACGCAGGGGGGCAACGCAGGCGGGAATTTAGGGAAGACTGAACGTGGAAATGCAGGGTTGGGGAGGAAACGCGGCTCTGCAGCGCTGTGCAGGTACTTGAGGCCCTCTGCCGCCCCCACTGCTATCTCCAGCCGCTGCTCAAACGTCAATGGCCGCTTGGAGGGGTCTGGTGAGAGGTGGAGGGTGAGGAAGCAGCATTCTCTATGTTAATTGCGTGTCAAAATGACTGTGCAGGTACTTGAGCCCCTCTGCTGCACCCACTGCTATCTCCAGCCGCTGCTCGAATGTCAATGGGCGCTTGGAGGGGTCTGATGGGAGTTGGAATGCAAAAGAGGGCCATAGAGGAAGGTGGGACGCAGGGGGGCAGTGCAGGGGGGAATGCAGGGAAGACTGAACACGAAAATGCAGGGGGGGGGGGGGGGATGCAGGGAGGGACTGAACGCGGGAATGCAGCACACGGACTAACCACAGCCAGGAACCTCAACTGCACTCACTGCAGGGCTGGGCTGGGCCAGGTGCGCAGCACAAGTGTTACAATTCCTCACCTGCAACGTTAACACTCAACTGCACCCACACCGAGACCCTCAATTCCCCCACTGCTGCGCCCCTAATAAATACTCACTGCTGGGGCGAATGTGCTGCCTGAGAGTGCCGTTGGGGACAAACTCGTACACGAGAATCTGCTCGCCCTTCTCATCGCAGTAGCCCAGCAGTCGCACGAGGTTGCGGTGAGACATCTTGC